ATGTAGATATATATATAGAGACAGCAAGCTAGAATGTCTCACAGTTTGTGATGTATCCAAGATCATATACATAGGGATGAAATATGTACTATATCTTAGGGCAGTGATGGCGAACCTATGACACACGTGTCAGAGGTGACACGCGAACTCATTTTTTTGGTTGATTTTTCTTTGTTAAATGGCATTTAAATATATAAAATAAATATCAAAAATATAAATCTTTGTTTTACTATGGTTGCAAATATTAAATAATTTCTATATGTGACACGGCACCAGAGTTAGGGTTTTTCAAAATGCTGACACACCGAGCTCAAAAGGTTCGCCATCACTGTCTTAGGGATTATTTTCTGGGATGAGATAAAGAATTAGAGTTGGTACCCCATACTCAGCCTTCCACTCTAGAGAACATGCACTTTATATCTATTAAGTCATAATGATTTTGGATAATCTTAGATAATGATATGCCAAAATTTAATACTTTGTTAAAAAGAAATCTAGATTTTTTTGGATAATTAGAATTGCACAGAACAACATTTCTTAAAGATACAGAACTCTTAGTAACTTCTAGGATATAAGGGCCATCACTACAATTACTACTTTGAAGGCATTTGGGGAAATGAAAGGTATTGAACCAGATAATTAAGTTTTCTCTATCTTTGCAATTTCTGACTCCATAATCAATTTTTCAGGGAAGGTACATATATAGCACATTTTTAAAGTTAGGCATTTAGGAATTTATTAAATTCTCATTAACATTTGAAATTCTCAAAGTTCTTCTGAATCCATATAGTAGAATAAGTGTCACTTGAAAAACTGAAACATCATGATCTTGAAGGTACCCCGTGTGCATGATTTAGTGGAAAACACTAGACTACAGTTTAAACCTAGGTTTCACACCTGATTTTGCCAAATTCTTTCTAAATCTGACAACATGAAAAGGTCATTTATTCTGAATTGCTTTCTTTGTCTGCATATTAGGAAATTTAATAGTTACTTTGTGTGCCCCAGATGGTCCTTATGGGAATCAGGCTTAGTATTGTGTAAGTGCTTAGAATAGTTACATGAATGAATGTTGGGTAGGCATTTTGGTAATAGGAGTGCCTTGTATTATGCCATCCAAATAATAAAACCCTAATATACAAATTGACCAAACGGCGGAACGACCGGTTGCTATGACATGCACTGACCACCAAGGGGCAGACACTCAATGCAGGAGCTGCCCCCGGTTGGGGCCACCCGATTGCCCCACTGGTCAGCCCTGACCACGGCCAGGCCTAGGGACCCTACCCTATATATTGGGAACAGTCTTGGATTTAAAAATTAAAACCTGGCAATGCTACTCTAACACTGAAGAAACAGGATGATGCAGTGATGACATGCATGGACTCTGGCTTGCACATTTTGTGGTCAGCCCTGATTCTGACACTTATAACTGTGTGACAAAGCCATTTACTTAACTTCTCTCTGCTTCAGTTTTTCCAACCATAAGATGGGGAAACTGGTACTACTGCCTTAGAAGGATCATGTTATGTACTATTTTTTATAATCAGGGCAAAAAAAAAAAAATGTAGCTGCCCATACAACAGCAAGATGCCTTTCATCTGTATGAATAGTATGGGTACTTGTGCATGCAGCGTCCCGGATTGACAGGGATGTCCAGCTGCCAGTCGGACACCCCCGAGGGGTCCCAAATTGCGAGAGGGCGCAGGCTGGGCTGAGGGACCCCCGCCTTCTCCCCACCACCCCGTGCACGAATTTCGTGCACCAGGCCTCTAGTTTTACATAAGGTTCTTGAGTATCTGCAGATTTTTGTATCCACAGGGGGCCCTGGAATCAATCCCTTGTAAATAAAGAGGGATGACTAGACTATAGAAAAATATATTAATGCTGTATTATTGATAGTTGTAAATATTGTATTTATAGACTTATGAACCCCAGTCTATGAATCTATATTCATATTTCTATGTTAATCCCAACTGCCTGATTATGTATTAAAAGAAATAGCCACATAGGATTCACTAGACTTGGTGTAATGTTATCTAAAAAGGCAGAGTTCTGATATTTCAGGTTTCCTAAAGTTTATAGTCCATGATCACTTAGTCTAAGACAAAATCTATCATGTAATGGGAAATTTTATACATGTTGCTGCAGTTTGATTCTTTCCAAATTTGTTTAAAAATACGAATTCTGAATTGTGCTTTATTGCTGATTTCTCTTTCAGGAAAGATCTTCCTACTTGGAGTATCAAAAAGTAATGAGGGAAATAGAACATTTGAGCCGTTTATATATTGCTTATCAGTTTTTGCTTGCTGAAGATACCAAAGAACGCTCAGCTGAGGACTTAAAAGAAATGCAGGATAAAGTTCAAAAGCTTCAAGAGGAATTGTCTGAGAATGATAAAAAAATAAAAGCACTTAATCATGAAATAGAGGAGCTGGAAAAAAGAAAAGATAAGGTTAGACATACATGTACAAATACATAATATAGCCTGAACAAATGCTAAATTATATACAATGATTATTTAGGATTCACTGGGCATTGTCAGTCTAATCTTTTAGAAAGTAATTTATGTACAAATCATATAAGAAAATGATGACATGAACAAATTTTAAGTATTTTGATTTAATTGTATACATTTGATTACAGGAAATTGGAGGTGTACTCCGATCTTTAGAAGATGCTCTTGCAGAAGCTCAGCGAGTTAATACTAAATCTCAAAGTGCCTTTGATCTCAAGAAGAAAAATCTGACAGGCGAAGAAAACAAACGCAAAGAGCTGGAAAAAAATATGATTGAGGTAAGCAAATAAGCTTAATTTTATGTCACTAGTAGTATACATTCTATTTATATTTACTGATTGTCTGCTATGGATCAAGTGTACATGTTTGGGTTGGGTATGTAGCAAAGGACTAAGTGACAAAAATGGGCAATGCCTTCTGTGTCTTCATTCTAGTGAGGAAAATGATAAAGAAAATAAATAAATGAGGTATATAGCATGTTATATAGTGATAACTGATGTGGATAGAAAACAAAGCAGGGGAGAGGATTGGGAGTATATGAGAGAGGGGTGCAATTTTAGCTTTTAAGTTGGGTAGCCATTGAAGATCTCATAGTGTGATAGTTCATTAAAGACCCGAAGGATGTCAGAGAACCATGTAGATAAATTTGGAGGCTGTGGGGAAAGATGGTCCAGGCAGAAGAACAGGAATTTCCCCAGGGCCTAACAAGAACATCAGTGTTGTTGGTTAGCGCTAAGTAGTAGGAATGCGGAAAGATAATAGGATGTAGGTTCACATGTAGTTTTACAAGCAGTGTGAAGGACTTTGACCTATATTTCCAATGACATGGGAAGCCACTGGAGTTGGTTGAGCAGAAACGTGATGTTTCTTGTTTTAGTTGGACTACTTATATTGTTTTTTTTTTTAATTTTTAAATTACAGTTGTTGACATACAATATTATATTTGTTTCAGGTGTACAACATAGATATTAGACATTTATATAACTTGATTTCACTTAGCATAATACCCTCTAGGTCCATCCATGTTGTAGCAAATGGCAAGATCTCATTCTCTATGGTTGAATACTCCACTATATATATGTACCACATCTTGAGCCATTCATCTCTCAAGGGAAACTTGAGTTGCTTTCATATCGGGGCTATTGTTAATAATGCTGCAGTGAATGTAGGGGTGTATATCTTTTCAAATGGGTGTTTTGGGTTTCTTTGGATAAATACCCAGCAGTGGTATTGCTGTGTCATATGTTAGTTATCTTTTTAATTTTTTGAGGACCCTTTATACTGTTTTTCATAGTAGCTGCACCAATTTACGATGCTGCCAACAGTGCACAAGGGTTCCCTTTTCTCCACATCCTTGCCCAACATTTGTGTGTTGATTTATTGATGATAGCCCAGGTGTGAGCTAATAACTCCGGTTTTAATTTGCATTTCTTTGATGACTAGTGACATTGAGCAGCTTTTTCATGTCTATTGACAATCTGTATGTCCTCTGGAGAAGTGTCTATTCAGGTCCTCTACCCATTTCTTAATTGGATTGTTTGTGTTTTCAATATTGAGCTGAGCTCTTTATAAATTTTGGATATTTATTAACTCCTACCCTGAGATCAGATGTATCATTGGCAGATATGTTCTTCCATTGAATAGGGTTGTCTTTTCGTTTTGTTGATGGTTTCCTTTGCTGTGCAAAAACTTTTTAGTTTAATGTAATTCCATTTCATCTGTTTCCCTTTCCTGAGGAGAAATAGATTTAAAAAAATATATTGCGAAGATTGATGTCAAATAGTTTACTGCCTACGTTTTCTTTTAGGTCTTGGGTCTTACATTTAAGTCTTGCATCGATTTTGAGTTTGTTCTTGTACCTGGTATAAGAAAGTGGTCTTTGCATTAATCTGTCCACTTTTCCCAACACCACTTATTGAACACTGTCTTTATCCCATTGTATATTCTTGCCTCCTTTGTCATATATGCCTGGGTTTATTTCTGGTGTCCCCATTCTGTCCTATTTATGGTGTCTCTTTTTGTTCTAGTACCATGCTGATTTGGTTAATATACCCTTGTAGTATACTAGGTGTATCGGTTAATAATGCAGGTTTTGTAATCAAAGAAAACACGATAATTTCAAGAGAAACATCAAAAGTGCTTTACTCAAAGTAATGTCCATCGCTAGCTCCACATTTCTCCCATCTTTCAGGTAATTTGTGGATACTGTCCCAATAGAACTTTTCTTGTTTTGAGGCAAACCATTCAGAGACCCATTTTTCCACTTCTTCGTATGTTTTGAAGTGCTGCTCAGAAAGTGCATGTGCCATCAATTGGAACAAGTGGTAATCTGAAGGAGCAAGGTCTGGTGAATACAGCGGGTGGGTTAATACTTCCCAGGCAAGATTTTTTAATGTGTCTTTAACTGGTTTTGAGGTGTGTGATGGTGCGTTATCATGAAGCAAAATTACTTTGCCGTGTCTTCTGGCACATTCTGTTTGTTTTACAATCAAAGCATGGTTCAAACTGATTATTTGTTGTTGGTAGCGAGCGATCAGTATTAACAGTTTCACCTCATAATACACCACACCTTCCTGATCCCACCAACTACAGAGCATTGTCTTCTTTCCGAAGCGATTTGGCCTTGCAGTCGATGTTGATGGTTGACCTGGATCAACCCATGATTTTGTGCTTTTGGAATTCTCTAAATAAATCCTTCATCATCAGTCACAATTCGATGCAAAAAGACTTTCTTTTGTGCCGTTGAAGCAACGTTTTACTGATGACTTTTTGGTTTTCCATTTGTCTTTCGTTCAGTTGATGTGGCACCCATTTTCCTTCCTTTAAAATCTTTCTCATTGCTTGTAAATGATCAGAAATTGTTTGCTGAGCAACACTTAATCTTTCTGCAAGTTGTTTTTGAGTTTGACATGCATCTTCATCCAATAATGCTTGTAATTGTTGGTCTTCAAACTTTTTCAGTTGACCTGGACATTGTCTTTCACATCAAAATCATCACTTTTAAAGCATTTAAACCAGCGTTCACAAGTATCTTGAGATGGAGCATGTTCACCATAAGCTTCCCGAAGTATTCAGCAGCACTTTTCTTCAAAATAAAGTAATGAATTAAAACTTCCCGCAAATGCTTTTTTTTGGCATGAAATTTGACATTTTTAAATGTAAAAATATCTGATGTTAACACCTTCAGAAAATTTGACATATGAAGTTTTGAAGGTTGCTGTCAATACAACAAAATAGCATACATATCACATCGCATATATATCAACATGTGTAACTCCATCTATTGAAAAAAAATATACATTATTAACCAGTACACCTAGTAGTTTCATATCAGGTGGCTTGATACCTCTAACTTTGTTCTTTCTCAAGATTGCTTTGACTATTTGATACCTTTTTTGGTTCCACATAATTTTAGGATTATTTGTTTTAGTTTTGTTTAAAATGCCATTGGAATTTTCATAGGGTTTGCACTGAATCTGTCGATTGTTTTTAGTAATAAGTTCATTTTAATGATGTTCCATGAGCACAGTATATACTCCCATTTATTTGTCTATTCTTTTTTATTTCTTCAGTGTCATAGTTTTCTGACTACAGGTCCATTTATTTACTTGGTTAAATTTATTCCAGGGTTGTTTATTTTTTTTTTACATAATTATAAATGGGATTGTGTTCTTCATTTCTCTGGTAGTTCATTATGGTGTATCAAAATACAATCAGTTTCTGAATATTAATTTTGTATCCTGCTATTGTACTGAATTAATTTATTATTTGAAGTTTTTTGGTGGAATTTTTAGGGTTCTCTATAGAATCATGTCATCTGCAAATAATGACAGTTTAACTTCTTCCTTTCTAATTTGGATGCTTTTTATTTCTTTTTCTTGACTAATTGATCTGGCTAGGGCTTCTAATACTATCTATCTACATATAAAAGTCTAAATGACCATTATGACGGAACAACCGGAATGACTGGTCGCTATGACTCGCACTGAGCAGGCAGGCAAGCGGTTAGGAGCAAGCAGTCCCAGGTTGCAGAGGGATGTCCCACTGCCAGATGTCCAACTGCAGGGATCGGGCCGACACCAGCAGTTGGACATCCACGAGGGGTCTTGGATTGCAAGAGGGTGAAGGCTGGGCTGAGGAGACCTCTCCCATGCACTAATTTCATGCACCAGGCCTTTAGTATTGAATAGAAGTGGTGAAAGAGTGGGCACCCTTGTTTTATTCCTGATCTTGGAGGGAAAACTTTCACCTTTTCACCATGGAGTATGATTTAGCTGTGG